CTTTTTAAGGGAAGAAATAGTAATTTCAACACATTGGCATTGTAAAAAAAATCCTATTATTCCATCGTCCAACGCCTTTTGGAAATTAACTCTATATTAAATCAAACATGTATAGGCAGCCTTTTCCAGGTGACATGCTAACAATAATATACAACCGTCCCCTAACTGACCAGATTGAAACAACATAGAGACAAGTACTTTGCGTGGTGAAGAAAGTTGACCTATTAAGCTAAACTAAGATACATTTTTTTCTTAAGAGTAAGATCATCAAATATAAATTGGATGCCCAGGTTGGTAAGTAGGCAGTTGTTTGCTAACAGGTTAGTTATAGCTGTGTAAACTAAAGGTATGTTAGGCTGTCTTTGCGTGTTTTGTTTTATGCCACCTAGTGGCCAACTATACTAAGTGTAGACAGCCAAGCTCGCAGCTCTGTGAAGTTCTACCCAGGCACGGCTGTACTTTGAGCAAATTGTTAACAATTGGCATTGTGCGTTTCTGCAAACCACGGATACATTGAGTGACGACGTTTTTGCATTTGGTTAGAGAAAGTGACATAGCACATGTCCCATGTGAAACCAAAAGTCAATGTTGGCTTTACGCTTGTTACGTAACGTTGTTACGCATTTTACGCAATGTTACACAAGAAAGTCAGAGATAAGACATTTAGCTGCACTTTTGCAGCTAGCGCTAGTTGGGTGGAACTGATTTTCTGAAAGTTTGACACTTTCACTAACCCTGAATCCTGGAATAGAATGCCGCCAATCTGCACACACTTTTTATATTTACATCATCTCAATAAATTTACAAATGGGGATGCTGAAAAAATATTTTGCATTGTTAGTGTGCACGGCTTTCAGCACATTGTGTTCTTTGGCTTCATCACTTTCTGAGGCTGGAACAATGTCTGCCAGCACCACTATTTTGCTTGGACTAATGAGGTGAAACTACAGTGTCTTCCTCATTATTATGGATGATGTGTCCTCTGGACTGCAGCCTAATCTTGTAAATGAGACGAGAACGTCTGGTGTAGTTTTACAGAAAAACCTTGCCCGGTACAGCTCTAAGACAGAGATTAAAATGTGTATTATAATTCATCTGGCCTCTTTGATAATTACTATAATGAGAACTTGCCACCAGTTGGCTAGTTGGCAATTTCAGCCAACCAGACTCCCCCAACTGACTTAGGACCAGCTGGCTCAGTACCATTCTCACACTTCCTAACCACCTGTCCCGCTCACAGTCAGGGTGGCAGCATGGATCAACTCTGCTTGGCACATTCGTACACTATACACAACTGAGGAGGGCAAAGCCATGGCTATGGACCATAGACGTTGACCGTTATATTATCTCAGGCACCTGGGAATTAGTAATCTGAATGGTCCAAAAGCTGGCAGTGACCTGGCAAGGCTTTACAGAGTTGTGTTGGCATTTACAGAGATTTAGCAGGGAACCAGTGGGCACAATGCCAACTGGCAAAGCACATTGGTCAATACATAAAATGACACTAGCCTAAAGCCTTGTAAATGAGCAGTGGCGCTTTGTGCACCATTTCCATGTGACAATTCTGATAATCTACTATAAGCGGAGTGTTCACACACGGAACTAGGCAAAAAAAAACAACTCCTGTGTGTTTTTGTCCAAAAAGACAAAGCAGGTCAGTACTGCTCTGATCCACATTTATCCATCTTTAATCCACACTTTCTGTTCTACCAACCATCCATCCATCCAGTCCATATTTGTTCTCAGTGGAGTTTCTCCTATCCTAGTGTTTTGTCAGAGGTCTGATGGTAGAGTCACATATGTTCCTCTCAGCCAGAGCAGGTGGCTAGCTGTTGGAGGAGAAAACACTGAAAATACTGCTAACAACTATGCATATGGTGCAGTCCTTCCACCCATCCAACCATCCATCGACCCATTCATTCATCCCTCCATTTATCCATTCATCCTTTAATTACTACCTTCAAACAAATTAATTCTTAATAGCTATCCACACATGGATTTATTGTCTTGAAGAGCTTACGACTATTGAATGAGGGGCCCCATTATTAACCCAGTTTTATTGTTTCTAATGGCATATACTGGTCCTAAGAAGAAACATATACACTTAAGGTAAGAATCATTATTACATGTATGTAGGTACAAATATAATTACATATAAAATATATAAATTATGGAAATCCCCGAAAAAAGAGAGAATATAAACCAAAAGAAACGAAAACATTTGAATATATAGCTAAATCAAAGAGAGTGCGAGTTAAAAACCAAATCAGAGTAGGCAAGACCATCAATAAAATGCGAGGGGACCAATTGGGTTTCAGCTCTTTAGGGAAGTCAGGAAGAGTTCAGATGTATTGTTAGCATATACAGCATCCAGCAGCGAAAGTGAACTGCTGTCAATGAGCTGCTGCCTGGAAAGGCTTGCTGCAGACAAAAATGCTCAACTCAGTTTGAAGCCCCACCCCTGCACAGAACTCCTTCGTTTTTTTATTTCAGTGTATTAATATTGTTCTTTCCACGTGTCCAAATTGCACTAAATTCGACACTGCACTCCATGGGGTCCACAGCAATACATCCACCAAGTGTGTTGTGGATCGGATGGACGGTGTTCGAGGAAGAAGAAAAACACACAGACAGAGATCCCTTGCTTTATAGTTTGATATTCTGAAAGAAAAGATCTGTTTCTAAAGGGTCACTTGGGGGCAGCAGAACATTGCCATACTATCACCATTTAGTTCTTACGGTAAACGTTAGCAAAGGATTGCCTATTTACACATCCAGCAGTCACAGAACAACCTGAAACATCCACTATTCACTTTCCTTTAGCTCGGTTTTTGGTCTCCACCAACTCCTGAAAAAAATATGACTCTTCAGCTGCTGAATGCTTCATTACGCATTCAACTACGCATTCAACTAGTTCTCCAGCTAGTTGCAACCATATTTGTGTGGTGTTTAATGCTAAGTAGGTAGTAGCTGAACAGAGAAAAACTTTTGTGCCAGTAAACCAAAACAATGCGCTAAAAGATGCTAAAATCCCCGTAGAGCTGAGGGGAACAGTATCGGATGAAAACTCTGTAGGTTTATAACTAAATGTAACACCTTTCACATTACACAGAGGCTTTCGATGCATTAAATATACACAAAAAAAGGATTAGTGCAGCATTAATATTCCATTGATGTAAAATAACAGAGCTCTGGTATTGTCAGTGCAGAGAGGTCCACATGTTGTCCATGGTTTTAGGACTGTGGCGGCATATCAAACATTTCTCTCTTTCTTAAAACATATATTTATTTTCCAAAATTATTCAAATGAATGTCAGCAGCATTTATTCCCTTTCTCATCACCATCTGTTTGGACCCAAGCAAAGAAGCACTACATGTGGAAAAGCTGTGGTTCTGGTCGAGATGAAAAAACCAAATGTGACACTTCAGTTAAGTTTTAACAAGCGTGTTGCTGTACTCTCCCCTGCGGTGCGCGAGTAATTGCCCCTGCCATTTCTAGCTTTGTTGTTTTCTGTTTCCTCAAACTGACAAATGGAGCTCTGGATGCTGGTAGTAACCCCACTGACCAGGAAGAAGGCTGACATTTAAATAGACAATGGATTGATTTCCTCTCTCGATGACATTTATGATATGACACCCTATGACAAGGGACAGATTGCTCAGTGGTGGTACTTAAAAGCGGGGTGGTGAAAAGCTTTATAGCAGGTGTGCTGCGGATGGTAGAGCAGCTAAGCCCAGAGCTGCTTTTGTAAAGCCCCTCTCGCTTAGAATCACTGTCTTTTAATTAACCAACCCTCCGCGGAGACTTGGGGAGCGTGGGATGTGTGCGACGCACACTAAACACTTTTGAAGGCTGAAATGAGTGTGTGCTTCAATCAAACAGAAAAAAATAAACACTCCGCTTGCCTCCAGCTTTCCACTTTTCCATTGAGAACAGAAGAAACTGGACGTCAGCCTCGAGTGACGCCAAAACAGAACCTCTCTGCTTCACAACAAACGAGCAGATTGCGATAAACCGTGTCGCCCAGTCGGACGGTCAGCCGTGTTTTTTTTCTTCTTCTCATCTTTGCAAGGTGCCTTTGAGACTAAATGTATTAGGCAGGATAATCGCCTCAGTCTGCCAAACCTTCAGGCTTTTTTTTTTTTTGTTTTTTGAGCCCACAGAAAAGATGGAGACAGTTCACAGAATGGAGATAAAGGCTGAAGTTAAAGGCTTTGACTGGATTCTATCGTTGCTGCTCCATTGCCATGTATCTCACTCATTTGATGTAAAATTTAAAAAAAAACTCCATCGAGCTGCCATTATTTGCAATAATCCAACCGTACTATGCTTATAAAATGTATATCAGTCTCATGAGTATTGGTCTGAGCTGTGAGTCCGAGTGGTTGTGTATGCTCCAGGAATAATATATTCACGGGCCTGCATGGCTAACCTAACAGATCAGATCAGATCAGCATCTATGAAATCACAGCTGATTAGGGTGTGTGTGTGTGTGTCCTAATTTATGCACTCTGGAAAATCTGAATTAATTCCCTATGCTTTATCCTCTAAAACATAACTGACCTACTTTAGACATTATTACTATTTTTCCACCATTGCAGTTTTTTATTTAATCCCTTAAGATAAGTGTGTGTGTATGTGATACAGAGGAGAAAAAGAGGAATAATATGCATATGTGTGCACTTGCCAGAAGTGTGTATGCTCTCAAGATGAGTGTGTGAGAGCAGATCAGTTTTAAATCTCCCGGCGGTCGGACAGTCTTGGTGGCATTATTACGACTGATGAGTTGAGGGCTCCAGCTGTGTGTGTGTGCGCATGGATGTGTTTATGTGTATGGAAGGGGCACAGGATAGGGCACACTGAAGATCTGAGACTGGAGTCATTCTCTGGTCCGTAGGAGAGATGAGTCAAAGACTGCTCTGAACTCCGAATTAAACCCTATTTCTTCTTTTCCCTCATCCGCCCTTTCTTCCATCTCCCTGTCCCTCATGTTCTACAGCTGAGGGAGGTCACCAGGAGTCAATGGGACGGGCTGTCATGCCTCTGGGCCCCGAGGCGCCCTCCAACCTCTCAGCCATCCCCCTGACTGGAGACACAGCTGGGGCGAAAGACAAAGACGCCGGACCCAGACGTTGGCCAGAGGAAAAAGTTTTCACTGAGGCCCGAGCAGCGGTTTGGACCGAAACAGAAACAGAAACAGGGGTGCACGCGGGGGTGGATGGCACACTCTTTGCGGAGACCTTGGCTAAAGTTGGGTCTGAATGGAGTCCCGTGGATGCGGAGGGAGGAGGCCTGCAGAGCGTGCCCAGGAACCCGGCTCCCTGGCCGGGGCAGCAGAGGCAGCAGAGGCAGCAGAGGCAGCGGAGGCAGCAGAGGCTGCAGACTCGCGGCGAGGGCCAAAGAGAGCGGACAGCCCTCTCATCGGTCCCCACCGATGAGACAGCGGAGCCGCCGGCACCAGCGCCGAGAAAACCTTTAGGGCTGCTGTCTAAAGCTGCTTGGACCAAAGGCACTTATTCATCCTCATCCAAGGCTGCCTCCTCTTCCTCCTCCTCCCCAGCTACAACAAAGGGATCCTCTTTGCCCTCCTCCTCCTCCTCTCCAGCCAGCAAAAGAGACAGTCAGACAGCAAGACCAGACAACGTCTCCCTGGTTGTCGACAACAGCAACTCCTCCAGCAGCAATAGCAGCTTCAGTTTGGGTATGGTGCAGTTGTTCTGTCATTTCAACCTATTTTAACATTGACTTTCATATTGTAAGTGATTGTTTGCGAAACCCCTCCCCCAAACAGCAGCCATAGCTTAGCAGCAGCAGGCCTGTCAAGCTCTGATTTCTCCACATGCAGAAACGATGTGCATGGGGCTCTAATTAGAGCTACACTACACTGCATTTAAAGAGTGTCTTTTTCTTAGCCTTTTTAAACCCAAAAAATTCAAAAGCTAAAATGTATTAATTCTTAGATTCATCCATGCATTCATGTATGGATTCATTCCTAATTATTAGGAGCATACAAGAGCAATGAAAGTCATCATTTCCTCTACATGAATCATCAATAGTGAGGATGTGTTTCACCTGGGACATGTAGCTTTAGTCTTTAGTCTTTCAACACAATATCATGAATAATTAGCCATCAAGTGCATATTTAAGACCCTTTTACCTGTTCCGGTTTAAAGGCAGGGTTGGTAATCTTCATAAAAAAATCCTGACAGCAAACAAGGGTGACATGCTCTAACAAAAAAAGGAAGAAATATGGTATCTGTGGCTGTAGCAGGACTGTAATAAGCCAATCATTACATTCGGGACGGATATAATGATTGGACAAGCTACCTGCCTACCTGTGCACACTCTGCCTGTGCACTCATTGCGCTTCACTGGAATCTTCCACAGGCTGATCTTAACAGCTGTGAGTACTAACAACAGCCGTGTTTGTTGTTTGCATTAATCATCATAATTTTAGGGGAGTGTCTTTGGAGTGAGGCCTGAAGGGACGTTCTGTCGGTGTTGCCGACTAGGCGACTTTCTTGCTAGATTTAGCGACTTTTGGAACTAGCGCTGCAAGCTAGTTATGTTGGAAAAGAGTTGCCAACACTGAGCTGGGTTTTTTACGGTTGAATCATTTTTAAAGTCTAGCATCAGTTTCTGAAGATTCACCAACCCATGCCTTTTAAAATGAGTCGGCAGGAAATACTTAAATGTGAGCTGACTAACATTTTTTTGCCATATATTATGAAAACCCTGCTTTTGTGTAAAAAACAACAACTAATTTTGATGGTAAAACTGTCAACGTCTTTGAATATATTCCAGAGAGAAAGAAAAACTTGACAGTGTTGCAACAGTGCATAAGGGGGTGGGGCTTAGCAAACAGTCAGTTGTTTGGGATCTCAATCTTCAACGTCAATAACCGTTGTCATCAAAATGTTATTTTCAGCCTTTGCTGTCACCATACCCACCATCGTCTTCATCCCATCATCATCATCATCATCATCATTTTGTCATCAACTTTCATCATGTTGTCATCATCACCATCACCGTCATCTTTGCCCTCTCCGTCATCCTCATCACCATGTCCTGTCCCATTCCACTACCTCCATGTCTCCCCACTTCCTGCCGCCCTATCACCACAGTAGCAATGACACCAGCAACAAGGTAATTCCTCCACACATCATTTTGCCGTCCGACATGAGAGTGGACAAACGCTAATATCGCATGGATTCACATCACAGTCGCGGGAGGATGAGACGGGATGTGGATGTCTCTCAGCCTGAGAGGATTGATTGCCTCCCTCTTGTTCGCTCCAGCCTCCTTTACGCCTCTCATCGACATGCGTCTGATTTCGCCGTGTTGGAGATGATTTAGATGGATTAAATGAACCCCTGACATTAAAATGCTCCTCTCGTTTACACATTAGAATTGGATTTCTATTTCCTACGGGCATTTTTAAACTGCTGCGCTCTTCATCTCATGTATTTAAAATTGAGGATGGATGAATGTTAAATGGATCTTTGCATGCATCTCGGATGCATTTACACTTTTTAAAAATCCAAATAGAATCCAGATTTCCAAGTCTAAGCCAGATGGGAGCAGGGTATAGGGGCTCATGAAGTTCACGCAATACACCATATTGCTTGTATACCATCCTCATTGTTAGACCTGTCTCTGGGCATTGTCATATAGTCTCATGTTATATATGTTGAAGGATACGGTTGGCGATATGTTTCTTTTTGTTATTTTTAATAAATGCAATAAGAAGACCAAAACCAACCATTCGGTAGACCGACTTAATGTTTTCTGACTTCCCTAGCCCATTAGTTCTTTATTTCGTTTTTTAAAACAGGCTGACTAATTTCCTAAAACAGCTGGCTGCTGTAGTTTGTACCAAACGTTACTCAAACGGGAGGAAATGCTGCATTTGTTGGGGACTATATTCAGCTGCTTATTAATACTGGTTTGGTTTAGTGAGTGTTTATGGTGGCGGGACAGTGTTCATGGTAATGAAGTCATTCAGTGCAACAGTGTGACTCATTGCTGTGTTATTGGTAGTTTGGACAACAATGCTGCTCTGCAACACAGTGGAATGAGCTGCATTAGGCTCCACAGATACGTCATGTCGAGGATCGATTCGATGTTGGTTTTGGCCTTCTTAAGGGATTAATTATCAAATAAGTATACTAAAGAATACCGCTGGACATCCTTTAATATCATTGATTTCTAAATGTTTTCCTCCCTGCAGAGGAGTCGGTGAGCAGCCGGCCGGCCTGGGATCTCCCCACCGTCCCCGAGTCACTCCTGTCCACAGTGGGCGACCACGACGTCACACTTCCTGCCAACGTCACCAGCCCTTTCTCCACCCACCAGTGGAACACCACCATGCCCGTGCGCACCAGAAACACCTCACGGCACACGGCCACATCAACCACCACCGTAAACACACCACTGTCACCCACCACCACCACCACCACCTCAACTTCACCGTTATCCACCACAGCGAGAGCACAAACACCATCGGGATCCAGTACAGTTTCTCAAACCACAAGCCCGGACACTGTGACCAATGAGGGCCTTCAGCTGACGACTGTAACCACAACGCCCTCAACTACCACTCTTACTGTGACCGCCGCTGAGATGACGACACAGGCGGCGACCACTGGGAGCGATGTAACAGTATCAACAAATACTACCACCGCTGCTACAAACGCCTGGCTGACAACAAGCCTCAAACTGACCACAGCGGCTCAGCCAACAACCACCACTACAACCACACCTGCCACTACCACCACCACTACTACGATCCCCCCGACCACCACCACCACCACCACTACTACGCTTCCCACCACTACTACAACCACTACACCTGCAACTACTACTACTGCTGCCACTACCACTACTACCACCACTACAATCACAACAACAAAGGAACCTGCCACCACTCTCTTCATCCCGATTGAAACCACGCCGCCTCCCACCACGACCACTGAACCTCCATCCAGTACCAGCGCAGAGGAAAGTCCTCTACCATGCAACGTGACCGAGAAGTTCTGGGTCAGAACAGGTACTAGTCTAAAACAACATCACCCTGAGAATAAATGTGGAAGAAAAAAAAGAGATTCCAATTGGAGTAGTTTTAGACATCTGGGGGAAAGAGTTAAGATGAATGGCTAAAACATCAGGGCATTTTCTCTCCATCTCTCGAATAGTTTAGCCTTCTGCTCATGGCTGCGCTTAGCAGAAGGCTAAAATATTAGCAACATAGTCTCCTCATCTCTCTAATAGTTTGTGTCCCAAAGAGGCATGCCTTTTTTCAGGAAACAAAGTAATCATGAATACAGGTGAAATACTATAGAGATGGTGTGATACTAAAGTATTGAAGCCTCTACTGTTGGCAGCAGCTGCAAAGTGATCAAGGAGACATTTAACCAGAAGCCAAAGTCCAAGCTCCTGTTTTATGGAAAATTATTGACATATTATTATTTGAGGCAATAATTGGGGTCAAAGTGAGATTTTTCACAGAATGTTAACAAGCCAAATATGAACACATCGTGCACAGTCAATAATAACGTTTTTCTTCACAGTTCTATCCATTGAGCTGCGTAGGAACTGCCTGGATCTGATCCTGAAACAGAACCTCTCCAAAGGACTAAGCCACGCCCTGCAGAGAGCCCTGAATGACTCAACAGCCAATGCACAGGTCAGTGTCTCTTACAGGTTCAGCTGCATTTCACCCCCACAGGTTAGGGGGTTAAATGCACAACTCACTCAGCAACCGCGGTTTAGTGACTAGTTAGGACTTAAAAAAACAGCGTCAGTGGCTAAAATCTCTTAAATTAAATTAATCTTTGAATATGTCCAAGTTCAATGGTCAGTGACCAGTAACTACACGTCATAGGCTAATAAACATAGGTCAGTATTTCGTAAACACAGGTTAGTGGGTAGTAAATTCAGGTCAATTGATGGTAAACGTAGGACAGTGGCTTGAACCCACAGGGGCCAGCAATACAAGTTCAGTGGGTAGTAAACAAAGCCACCTAACACAGATTAGTGGCTTGTGAACCAATGTCAGTGGGTAATAAACAAGTCACTGACTAGTAAATAAAAGTCACAGTCTATTAAAACTGGCACGTTATTTTTGGCATCATTGGGGCAAAAAGTAATTCAGCATGTTGTAATTCAAGTGTCCGTCTGACGTTTATTTTGGCTATATTTAGTTCTGTTCTGTTTCAGGGAGGGAAAGAAAATGTTGGTAATTGTTTTGCTTTCTCCTACTGGCTACAGCTAGCTCACAGCTATGGTTAGCACAAGGCTAAATCATTGGATGTGGCAACATTTTCTCTCCAGTTCTCTGATAGTTTAGCCTTCTGCATATGGTTGCGACAAACTCACAGTTACATTTAGCAGATGGCTAAAATATTAGCAACATATTCTCTCCATCACTATAATAGTTTAGCTTTCTGTGTTACGGTTAGCAGAAGGCTAAATCATTAGCAACATTTTCTCTCCATTGCTCTAGTAGTTGAATATTAGCAACATTTTCTTAATATATTTTTCAAGAAAACTGCCTACCCTGCGGTACCACTTGATTAACAATATGCTTAAGGGTTATTATGGTATTTTTTCACAGAGAAAGAAATGGCCTACCCCAGCTTTAACCACAAGTCAGTACAATAAATGCAGGTCAGTAGCTAGTAAGCTCAGGTCAGTGGCTAATGAACACAGGTCTACGGATAGTAAACACAGAGCTGTGGCTATTAAATACAGGTCAGAGGCTTGTGACGACAGGTCAGGGGCTTGTAAAGCCTAGTCATTGGCTACTAAACACAGGTCAGTGGCTAGTAAACATGGGCTCATAGGCCCTCTTAGACGTCAAATGTTTTTCAGAGCTTTAGCTTGCTTTGCTGTTAGTACACACATTTGACCTTAGCATTCAATGTACTCCCCACTGTACACTCCAACAGGTCTGTACATTCTTGATGTAAATTAGAGTCTCTCTGCTTCATTATACTGAGTAAAGGTGCTTTCCTATCTGACGCTCATAAGATAATATCTCGTCTTTACATTTTAATTTCGGCACAGTGTTGGCTCTCCGCGTGTGCAGGCATCCTATTCTTGAGTGTCATCATTTCACAATACTCCGCAAGGACCCGTCAGAGCGGTGCTGGAGAAGAACGGGGAGAGGTGACTAATGCAGACAGCGTTTGGAGTCTGAATACAAATAACCTGTTGAATAGTCAGGCGTTGTTTTGGTCAGAGAGGTTTTTACGCACACAGTCGTACTCTCTCTCTCTCACACACACACAAACAAGATAATGGAAAATTCTTCCCCTCCTATTCTGTTGCGGATAGATTTTTTTTTTTTGTCTCTCGCCCTCTTTGTCAGCTCCCCGATCTGATCTGATCTGATTGCTCCCTCAGTTTAAGTCGATAGATTTTCTGCCAACCTGTCTGTCTCGCCTGTCTGTTTGTGCCCGTCTCTCTGTCTGTCCACCTGCCTCTCTTCGTGGCGCTGTCTGTTCTTCCAACTTCATCCGCCTGCTTTTTCTATTTTTATCCAGTTGTTTGTGAGCCTGCACCAGGAGTGTCTCTAAGCTCCCGTCCATTTTCATCTACCCCCTGCGACACACACACACACACACACGCACACGCACACGCACACACACACACACACACACACACACACACACACACACACACACAC